AGGGATTCCGTTCGATCGAACACGTTCGAAAGGTTTCAACTGTTTTTATTTTGGGTTCTCACGAGTTTCTAACTTGAAGTTAACCTTCATAGGAGGTGGTGGTGGTGGTGGCGGCGGCGGTGGTGGTGGTGGTACAGTAACCGCTGTCAGAACAATAGCATGGCTGGCAAATTGGCAAATTCCCCAAAGTTTGCATTATTCCAAGTGCAACAATTCGTTCATATTTGTTCTAGTCTAGTCTAGTCAATCCCATTCAGGGCAATGATTTGGATGAGTTTAAGCACTGGTGTTTGAGAAAGGCTTTTAGGTCAGAGTTCCGGGAATCAAGTGAAGCCTCAGAAGAGGCTAAGCAAGGATTTCAAGCGCGACCTGTTACGAAAGCCGTGGCTGAGTGAGGGGTGGGCGCAGAGCGGTACCCGCCGGGTAGGGTGAACTTAGAGCCTGGTGGGGAAGAGCGAGAAAAGAGGCGTTCCAAAAGGTAGTGAACATTTATGTTTTTAGGGTTTTGATGATGCGAGGTATGCGCATGATATGAATAGTGCATCATTAGCATCACAAAGTGCTCCGGAGACTAATGGTCTACTGAGGTGAGCTGACCAGGTGTTTGAGTCCTGGTAGAGGATAGGAGACTGGACGACAGGAAAGGTCTAAGGATAATGTTGGAGGCGCCCTTTTTTGCGTGAAAAGGGGCCCCGCACTCCGGAAGAAGCAGAGCACCTCAGTGGGCACCCCTTGTACAAGAGCATGGGGTCCAAGCCTATCCTATGACTAGTGACAGTGGATGGGGGTTAGTAAAGGCCGTGTGTATATAGGCTCTATCATATCCCTCAATGTGAAACTTTGCATATCTTTGCCTTTTGTTTTCCCGTGGCTAGAACACGTATGCAACTTCGATTTTGCACTAAAAGGCAAAAATAGCTTATTGTATACTCACTTCTCAATCCCTGTTATTTATTTTTATTCATATTGTTTTGGGTTGCCCTTTTTCTAGGGCCGAGATATTGAAATTACGACGGGGAGGAACATTATGGGGTGTTTTTTGTGTTGTAACGACCGAAACAATGCAACGGTTGGGAATAATTTCATACGGCGTTTGGAAATTACGTCCCAATCAACAAAACGGGGCTTCGACATTTGACATGCAAAGTCAAACTGGGAAGTGCGCGGGACAAAAGTATACTGGAACCTTCAACAGGAGGATTATATAAGTGTTGTCAATACATTTTTGCAACCCCCCACAGAGAGAGAGAGAGAGAGAGAGAAACACACACACACACACACTCGTGCATCTCTCTCTCCCTCTCTCTTACTATTTATGGAAGCACACAGGGAAATATAAAAACTAATAATTTCAGAGGGCCCCGTACTGTTCATTCACCGTGTAGTGCCCTTTTCACGAAAGGTAGCCTGGTAAGGGCTACCTTGAGTTTGCTTTGCGAAGCAAGGGGACTGGCTTGAGAGCTTGCTCGGGACTAAAGATTGGTAGATCAATGTCTAACACCCCCACGCCCCCGATGAATCATTGATAAATCAATTGATTCCAGTCCCCCCCCCTCCACTCCCCTCCCCATCCCCTCCCCTCGTCGCCAGCACTACTAGCATTCTGGACATAAGGTGAAGTCATGCGCTTAGCAATCACAGCAGTACGACGCTGGCCATGAGGTTGCGCAATACAGCGCGAACCCTGCAAAATGAGGTCGCGCAATTCAATGCGGCTTCGATGCCGCGCGTGCGCACCCGGCAGCCTGACACAGCGCGTACTGCGTTCACAGACCATATTGCTCGACACCAACGAGCATCGATGCAACGCAGCCTCTCTGCAAAGCCCTGTGGAGAACCCCCTCGCGTCGCGGAACACCATTCGACTCAGCCTTATATTCTAGCGTGGCGAAATCTTACCGCATCGTGGAGCACACCCACCATATAGCGTGACGTCCATCCCTGGCAGTACCGGCCCCGGCCGCACCCCTCTAGCATTATCCTTACAAGGGGGTTGGTCACTGAGTCACTGCGGCTTTGACGCAACGCGTGCAGGCCTGTAATCCTGACACAGTGCGTGCAGCTGTGGGACCATAGCTGGTACACATGCGAGCGTTTACGCATTGCGACTTTTACGCGCGCCTGTTTTCACACACCTATACACAAACGAGCGTCGACGCAACGCAGCCTCTCTGCAGAGCCGTGTGGCGCAATCTGACCGCAACGGTGTTCCTCTTGAGCCTTCTTGTGCCCTCTGGCTTTGTTGGCTTCATCCATGACTGACCAAGGGGCACGTTCCTGAAACACCGGAGACAGTCCCTCACCAGAAAAGGTCCCGACAGCTACCCGGTCCGTCTCTACCTTTCGTGTTTCCCCGCTCAAGTTAAGGCAACCCTTCTGCTATCTACAGATGCATGTACTTTGCGTTCTGACAACATACAGCGAGCCGTCGGAGTCATGGCGAAGCGGGTGGGTGGTGGCCACATCAGCGTCAGCCCCATCGGCTTCATTGGGTTCATCGCCCCCATGGCGTAACCCCAGGTTCTACAGGCCCGGCAAGTAGATCAAGTAGGAACCTTTGCAAAAAGGTGCTATCAACGATTCAGTTTGGTGAGGTAACTTACCGCTACCCGCCTTCCATTTTGCTACCGCCCCCTGCTCTGCAAGTTTAGAAAAGAGTTGATGCTGAATCGATCATGCCTGGTAGGATGCATGCTGAAACAAGGCCACAACATTTAGCCACCTTGGCTTGGGCAATGGCCATTGCGAGGGTAGAGGAGCATCACTTCCACAGCATTGTGGCGGTTTGGTCGAACTGTTCCTTGCTAATCATGGTTCGACCATGTTTTACTGAACGGGAACGCAGATAACATCAGCGTGCATAGGCCATATTCATTCCGAGCATTGTTGAATATGGGAGGACACGTTCCAGCATGCAGGCAATGCAATGGATGCTGTTGCGCAGCAGGTGACCTTTGTGCGGGAACTGTTGGATTGTCATGTGCCAATGCAGACAACACGTCCAGCATGCGCAGCAACAGGCAGCTTTCAGTCATCATCTCTTTTCTGCACAGCTCCTAAACTGCAAGAATAGTATGTGTGATTATTTATGCGTAGATTTCGCTCACGATTGCCCCTGGCCAAACAGGAATGTTGCAATCACGCTGTGGGCATTTGCCAAGTGCCATCCTGAGAGGGTTTGACTCGACAACCCCAGGTAACAAGTCCGAGAGGGCGGGCGCCAGATGTGCACATGTCTCACTTGTCCGTTCCAAAGCCGCCAAAACCCTCGTGCAACAATGCAATCGCCATGTTCTGAAGGCTTTTACAGGCTCCTGAACCTTTGCTTTTCTTGAAGCTTGGCGGATGATGGTTCTGCGTGTAAGATCATGCCCCGCCACGAAGAGGAAAACGGAAAACCGGTTCCAATCTAGGTTTCGGCGGCATGTTCGCAGGAATCAGTTCAGAGGTGCTATCCAGTTCTTTACTTGATGTTCATGTCTCATGACGGCTCCAAGTTCTTCCAATTTGCCAGGCTTTGAAGCCATGCCCATTGCGGCAACTGTTTGGGCACTTGCTAGAATTGCTGAGGTGCAGTTGCAGATGTCATAAACGAGTTTTTGCACCTTGATATATATATATATATATGTGTATATATATATATAACATATTTACTTTTTTGTATATTAGTTATATGTTTTTGGGGGGCAATGCTTCCCGATTGTCAGGTCTCAGAGCATGCCACAAGGCACAACGCTTTTAGTTCAGAGCTTGGAATCCAATGGTCGATGTGTCTTTCAATCACTTCCGATCTTCTTGAGTCCTTGACTTGAGGAATTCAGCTGGTGCGCAGAGGGTGTGAACAGCTTTCCGATTTCTCTGAGCAGGTGCAAGAGCGTAAAGGTTCCCAATGAAGACAATATTGTGACGGACCTGCTAGGGAATTGCCAACCTGTCTTTTGCCTTGGCTGCCGGAATGCCATGGGCTTATTGGATTTATTGACAAATGCCTCAGAGATTGTTTTCCGCCCGTCAGGAAGCCTGCCCGGAGTTCAATTCAACCAAGTTCGCGCTCCAAGCGCCCTGAAATATATATATATATATATATATATATCAGACAATTTTCCCATCTTAATCTAGAGCCCAGTTATGCCCTAGGTCCTATACAATACAGGATATGTGGCCGGTATGCCAATGTGTACTTAACATATGTATACCTGCTGCCCTGCTGGCAGAGGAATTCTTATTCCATCTTGAAACACAACGTTCCTGAGCCCAGTTCACGTCCCTGCACGGCTTTTCACGTATATCGAACGGTTTTTCACGTTTCTGAGCTGCCCTGTCAATTACTTGCATTTTGCATGGTCTGAATGGCGGTTTTGTTGCCAAAGTACACTTGGTTAAAGGGTCCTATAGGTTTGGGTCTCTTGGCCCACATCCCTCAATCTACAGCCCTACAAAGGACTATATAGTGGACTATATATACACAACTAATGGCTAAAATCACCATTACGGTTATTCAAGTTCGGAAGAGCTTTTCTTCTCCATAGATACAAAATAAGATTTTCCTCTCCAGGAAGAGGAATTGCTGTATACAGGGTGCTGCAGGTATTGTTATAATTTATGATTTTGTTTGTTGCTGGATTCTGTTTGTGCAGCAGCTCATCGAGGCATGGAAGTCTTTCCATGACGCGTGTAAACAAAGTCCAAATTCCAGGGGAACTGCACGCAGTTCTTGTCCTTGCTCTCGAAGCGTGTCAAACCCATCCTGCTTGGTCTCCTCCATGAATGACCTGCATCCGTGTGCGTCTGGGCATGTAGGAGAGGGAACAGAGTGCAAGGCTTAAAGCGCTGGAGGAGCCGCATTGCACCCCAGTGCGATAGGGATGCCATTGATGACCACGAGGCTGCCTGTGAAGGTCTTTGAGGAAAGCGCGCGCCTTAAGCCTCTTAGGAAAAAGACTCCTTGGAGATGGGTGGAATGCTTGAGCGAAGTGACGGAAAACCTCGGCTTAGTTTTGCCTGTCCAAAAGCAACAAGTCCAAATCAACTGAAGAAGGCCAAATTCATACAGCGTAAGGGAAAGGCCCCTTCATTGCCATGCGAAGTTCTTTGGTGGAAATGGAACGCCCTGCGTCCTGTTGCAAGCCTCACATTTCTATACTTTTCCTTTTAGAAGCTACTAGCAACAAGTGTGTCGCTACTAGTAGCTTCTTGTTACTAGTAGTAGTGCCCTTGTTACTAGTAGCGATGCACTTTGTTACTAGTCGCTTCTTTTCACTTTGCTCCCGGTCGTCCAAACACATCTCGAGGTTCTGGTGGCCTGTGTGGCGAATGAAGTGCGTGAGCCAAGTGAACTCATCGAGCTTCTGCAATCTGGGCCTCTCAGGAGCACGCTGTCAGCATGACGAGTGCCTCTGATTTCTTGAGCCTTAGGCCTCACCCTCCCGTGTAAAGATTTGACATATTTCCATAGTCTATGCTGTTCAGCGCTTTTTTATTCCTTCTATTTTGCAACAAGACCGTATCTTAAGGGAAGGGGATTGTGGGATTTTCGTTCCTTGAAAAATAACGCAAGGATCCCGGCACGCCTTTTGAGGGTAGCGTGTTTCGGCACGTTTCGCGGTCTTTCAAACTTTTGCCATAGGCCTTGCATGGAGTCTATGTCCGGTCACTGTCACTCCGGCTTATTTGCCTGTCCCTATTTTACCTAATTCCTTGTTTTTTCCGTTTTCTTTATTGATTCCTTCTCCATCCTTCTCTTCTTCTTTCTAGTTCCTTCATTTCAGCTTTGATAGGAGAGGTTAGTCAAGGCCCTTCATCATCCGCCACCTTCTCACCCCATTTCGCAGCTCGCATCGAAAATTAATTTCCTGTCAGGACTCCGGACCGCAAATTTCAGCATGTTTGTATTGGGATGCTTGGTCTTGCTATTAGTTTCCTTCCATCCTTGAGTCTAATGGAAAATAGCCGTTGTGGATGTGAAGGTGCATATATTTGGAATCTTCCTTATGTCAAAATTTGAATATCTCGGCATTATTTGCAACTCACTGCCAATTTGTCTTGCCACTTGACAACTATTTTCCTCCATGCGTTTGCCAAGTCACTTGTCCTATTGTTTGTCTAAATGTGGAATATTGCTTTAGATGGTGAAGAGGTTTTGTCTTTCCATGGCATTGGTCTGCGGTGTGATGTTGATTCTGTGAGGTTGATTCCCGAAATCCGCCCGCACCGGAGGTGCCGAGGGCGTCATGTAGGCTCGTGTAAATTCGCAAGGAATCCGGCTAAGCTTTAGCTTGGGGGGGGGGCTAGAAATGCTATGTTTTTCAATGTGTTTGAAAAAGTGACTAAAATTGGACCAGAGGTTGGCGTTGCCGGTTATGACGGTCGGGTCAAATCGCAATATTGACATCCCAGACTTCTCGGCAAGCCAAGGGCACTGCACTATGGATATGCGATGCCGGCTATGCCGGCCGGGGTAGACTGCATTATGGACATTGCAGAAATCGCAAACGTCTAGGCAAACCGCGGGACGCTGTATGATTGATATCGTGGATGTGTTCGGTCGTGTGCCCAGTCCGACTGGATGAGGTGAATGGTATTGAGCATGTGGTTTTGAAATTTTTTTTGGGGGGAGGAATCGCATGTTGTTTTTACACAGAGAGAGAGAGAGAGAGAGAGAGACAGAGACAGACAGACAGACAGAGACAGACAGAGACAGACACAGACAGACAGACCGACCCAGGCAGACCCAGACAGACAGAAACAGACCCAGACAGACAGAGACAGACAGACCCAGACAGACACAGAGAGACAGACCAGCCAGCCAGCCAGCCAGCTAGCCACCCAGCCAGCCAGCCAGCCAGCCAGACAGACAGACAGACAGACAGAGCGTGAGTGAGTGGGCCGTAAGTGCCAGTAGGGTTGTATGTGTGGTGAGTTGCAGTGGGAGGAGAAACCGTGGTGTCTGGGTTGGTAAGCTGCTGATGTTGCTGCTGCTGGAGCAAATAATGGTTCCAGTAATATTGCTGCCATTGTGCGTCCATGTTGGCGTTCGAAGGTGTCGACTGGAACGTTGAGGCAAGGATCACGGGTTGTTGGCTTGAGCAAGCTGAAAGGGCGGAGGGAAGGAGGGGTCAAGTAAAGTATAAGGGGTGGCGGTCAGTGTAGAATCACAGCAATTGACAAGTGTCATACATTCATGGTTCAGTCAAACAACAGGCATAAACACAAGAAAGACATCAAAAAGAGCTGAGTCATGCAAATATACTGTGAGAGTGTCGCTTAAATGGTCAACAAAAAGGCAGCTGGCTGGATCAAAGCATGACCAATGTTGATAAGCGAGGTCATCAGCCGAAGGCGCTAACTGTTTTTTCGTTGTGCACGGTGAAACTGGTTTTTGCTCGGAGGCCTCATTGGGGATGGCGATCATCCGAAGATGAGGGCTAACGATAACATTGCATACTAGGAGAAAGTCATGGAAGTGGAAAGAGGAACTGTGGTGTCTTGGATGGTTCATGGCATGTAACTCATCAACGGATCAAGCTCCGCAGGTAGCTCAGAATCGGCAGCCGCGCGGTCAGTGATTGTCGGCGCACCAGGGATCAGTGCTAGGATCGTAGTCTTGCTGATGTAGAGGCAGGGGGCGCCCCTGCAAGTCAACCTGTGTGGTAGTAGGGTGGAGCATGACAACTGGTGAGGGTGGGGCAAAAGCCGCAGAGCTTGCAGGTGTTGAGGTGGTGAAAGGTTGCTGCTGTGTGGGGACAGGGTAGTGTGCTGGCCAGGGATGCGTAGGTGGGGCCGAAGTATGTGGCGGTGCCGTTGATGGGGTTGGGGTGTACGAACTTCCTTGGAAATTTGACCAGCCGGTTGCCGGGGGGGACGGATTGCAGGGGGTCACTGGTGGCGGGCGGTTGTTGGGCTTGGTGAAGTGATGGCGGAGGTCGTTTTGGTAGAGGATGCACTGTAAAAGGGTATTGTTGTGGAGCTGGGGATGGCGCCGTGCGACAGGGAGTTGGGGAGCCGGTGCGTGGGTCTGGCTGCCGAGTGCGGGTGGGGGTGGTTGAGCGTGGAGGTGTCTTGGAGCGCCTGTGGCGCGGTGTACCGCCAATGGGGGAAGGAAATGCCGGTGTTGTGTACGGGTGCTCAGGAAGGGTAACTGTAGGAGTAGGAATGAGGTTGACATACTGCCATCGATCATGAGGCTGCTTGTTGGTTGCGGACGTGGGGTTGGGTGATGTAGTGTGGGCAGTGGGAGTGGAGGAGTCCGGTTGATGGGCGTCATGTGGTGGAAGGATGCCGGCAAACGATGGAAGCTGGACGATGGCGTGGATGTCCGTCTGAATGTGGCGGTGGTGGGTGTGTGGTCGAGGGGTGGTCTGCTGCGATTGGTTGAGACCTGGAGGCGTGAGTGGGTTGTCGAGGACTGAAACCAAAGATGCAGAAGTTTGGGCGACTGCATCTTGCACAGTGGTTTGCCGAGCAGCGGCAGTGGGTATTGGATAGAATCGAAGAGGTGGAATATAACTGGGCGAGGGATCTGCTTGGATATGGGGAAGCTTGTGCGCTGAGGTTGGGATCCGTGAAGTAGGCCGCTGGTGGAAAGCGGGCTAAGGTGTCAATGGCATTGAGAGCCAGGCGTGTGGTGTTGTGCTCGTTGCACGTTGTTGTGGTAAATGGCAATGAGGCGCTGGATGGGAGGTGGAAGAGTGTCGGTGAGGGGTTGGTGGCCGATGGGAGTTTCTGCAAGTGCGGTGTGGCTGTCCAGGTGTTGGTGAAGGATAAAGCGGTGCACGTGGAGGTCCGTGAGGACCCCCATCAGAGCATGTGGTGGTTGAAGGGTGTACACTTCGGCCCAAAAAGATTGGTCTGCCGAGAGGTTGGTGGTAGGTGGCTGTGTAGGCTCCGAAGTTGTAGGGCATGGGGTTGGTTGAGGTGGCGCCGGGTGTGTGGGGTTGTCTGCCTGTGATTGTACATCGTCTGCGTCTTCAGTAAGGAGAAATAAGATCTCGGATTGTTCATCATAGTCCGCTGCACGCTCCATCGGATGTCTGTGGTGGAGACGGTGCGCTGG